TATATATATCTATGGTGTAGACAGCATCACTGATTATAATGAGTTCTATAGTATTTTGTCTCGCCACGCCACTCGCGTCTGGTGTAGACACGGTGTAACATTGGTTTTGCTTTGTTTCACAGAACTAATCGTTGCCTGGATTGCGTACGTATGTGCGGGGCGGAGCTATCAAAATAGGGGCGAGACCCTTTTGGGGTAGGAGCGTGTTTGTTTTGGTGATTTCAAATGTCAACATTGGCTACCAGAAATTGCTTACCCCACCTTTAATGCTACAATTGATTCTCCAACATCATAGTCGATCACATTGAGATATGGCTTTTATACGGTCAGTTCATCGCAAGGTGCCCCTAGCACCAATTGCAAATTTGCATTCAACTCTTAACTACCTTTGCTCATTGTATGAGCTATAGCACTAACAGATTCATGGCAGCAGCACTGGAACTTCCACTTCATCAACCAAAGACAACTAACATATGTTCAAAATGGAAAACAAAATTACAGGCCACTCAATTCACCATAGCCAATCTTGTAGAATAATTTTCTATGAAAACATATGGCCTCTTCACCTGGACAGTTTACACTGAAAGATCTGTTTCTAGCTCTACTATCAAATATGGTGAGCAGTAATGGGTTTTAAGATGAGCCACAGCTGTGAGTTCTCAAATGCATTTGGATCACTAATGGTTTAGTCATCTTTTTCTCTGTGTTATTGATAACGGTAGGCAATTGTTGCTAGGGGACATAAAGGATTAAGATATCCTCTGTCAGACAATTGCAATTGTAATGAATTATTGTACAACCAAAGTATACGATAAGGACTTGTTCAAAGACTTATGACACTCATGACATTCATGGCTTCTTTTTTATTACTGTGAGTTGAGGGGGGTCTACTTTATTATAAAAAGACTCTTTGTGCTTGTAAAAATTGGGCTCAACAGTTAGGATTATTATTTTTTCTGCTGGCTTTAATAAACATTTTTGTATTTGCAAGAATGTTTTTTATTTCTCCATTAATTATTTGCTTTTGACATTTTTTGTTTAAAAAATGATTTACAAAAAATTTTATTCCATCTTTTTTTTCACAAAATGTAATTATTCAACCAAATTATAATATAACTACATTTATAAAAGCACTTATGTTGCAAAAGTGTTTTGATGCAAAACAGTACTCATTGGTCTGTAGTTTTCTTTCTAACTAATGCTTCTTACAAATTTGACAAAATCTCATCTATGTTTTTTCCCATTGTCACCCATGTTGTTGGTGGGCATCTGGGCAACCCTTGCTGTGCTCTGAAAACAGACACTAAATTTGACAAAATTATGCTTTCCTTAATTCAAAACACATAAAAACATCTGGTAACTTAAATTTATCGTAAATGCCCTGTAATTTTAAACTTCTTATAAAACACACACATGAAAATACAGAGCGGCTTTTCCAGAGTCATTACAAGGTAGGTTTCACAAAGACTAACAGTAGATGTAACAGTAGCAGCTTCCATGAATGAAGTTAAATTAATCTGGATTAAGCATGGAGAGTGAAGTAATCTCATAGAGTGGTGAGGCATGACAACCTCTTACTACCCGACATTATGATCCAATATTACCAGCTGAATTCAAAGAAAGGGCTCTTCAAATAATATTACGATATTCACAGCACTAGAACAAAAACTCTAATACAAAGAGGCTGACAAGTATTCAGACATAACATCAAACTTCCTAAATGTCACTGTGCACAGGCTGTCCACTGTATGCAAATTAATGTGATCATTATTTGTGAACGCATCCCTATCCAGGCATTCTGATGACTACAGTATAGGAATACAATATAATCCTACAGCAGAATCACATATGGACAGCATACCTTAGAGTCAGGTAATCAGGCATGATGATGTATTAATCAATTTATGCATGCATAGACAATAAAAATGCCATTAATATTACACTGAGGTGTACCATTAGCACATGATACAGTTTTCTTATTTTCAGAGGTTAAATGAACAGCAAAATGTGCCATTTAATATCTGTCGATTACATAAATGTATGCAAAGCATGGCTCCATCATTAGACACAACGCTCGAAGCTCTTCTAGTAACCCATTATGAAAAGAGAATCAGCAAAGCAGAGCTAAAGGAGACATCTTCAGACGTTCACTAACTGACATCCTGATTCACACATAAGCTTTTTTCATGTGCTGCAGTCAGTGAAAAAAATGTAAAATAAGAAAAGAAAAGCTTTTTTACACTATTACACCTATGAAATTGTCTTTATATTTCTTGATTCACTATATCACATATTTTGAAACACAGGGAGTGGTCAGTGTCGTTGTTTGTCATTAGTGTATCTGCCACTCCCTGGCGACATGATAAACGGGACTGCACATGGCCAAGAGTCCATCAGGTTTCGCTTCTGGGAACAGGGATGTCATTAACACAATATACACATGCTAACAGTACCATGCAAAACTGTAATCTGGTCACCAACAATCCCCACCAGAAGCAGAACTGAACGGCTCTTGCCAAAGCAAAAACTACCAAGAACCTATCAGAAATATCAAACTTACGTGTTTTGCGGCTGACGTGGGTTCGACCAGGTGTGGTCACGTGCCTTTCAGTGGATGACTGCTCTCTGGTCCACATTTGGGTGGAGTCGTTTAGAACGGCAGGGTTGGAGGGAGAGGGGCTGGAGGTGGACGTTTGGACCGTAGACGTTGTGGTAGAGGCCACGGTGGTCATAAAGGTGGGATTACGTGTGACAAAGCGCGTAGACGGGCTTTTCTGTGTCACCTGGCTGCCGGATGCACCACCACCTCTTGGGGGAACATTGGGAGGAGTTCCTGTTCGAGTCCTGCTCCGCACCACAGTGGTGACGGTGGGGCTGACCGAGCTGACCCCTCCAATTGTGGTTGTGGTGGTGGTGGTGGTGTCAGATCCCTTAGGAAAAGTGCTAGGTTTGGACAGAAATATGGGGTCCTGGCCAATACCCTTGGCATCCACCAAGTCAGTAGGCACGTAGTCCCGCACAGAACCCACTACGATCCATTTCAGCAGCATCAGACTCAGCCCTAGGCCTATGAAGCCAATGATAAGTGGAACCACGCAGAGCCAAGTCTGTTGGCGGGGCCAAAGGGCACAGCTCCCGCACCTTAAAATGCCACCACGAGCAGGGGCCTGGGCTTGTTCACGTCCACCGGAGCCACCTCTCCCATCAGGCTCCTCCAGTACCATAGCCCCCGAGTTGTTCTCTGTTCCAGAGCTGTCACTCATCTCGCCTGTGGCACGGTAAGGGTTAACCCCAAGGCCGGGTGCTCGGCAGACATGGACAGCACAAGGCGAAACACTGGCCAGTAATGCCAGACATTGGGAAAAAAGTAAACCACAACCGCAAGAACACAGAAATAGTTACGAACACATCAAGGCATTCAAATCACATCCACACACAACTAACACACATACACACACTCACAATCAGACAAGCGCATACACCCATTAGAATTTCCAGAGGTAGAAATCTCAGCGGTTGCAGAATCCAGTAAAAAGGGCAATCCTTTAGTCCAGTTCCACCAATACGTCCAGATGACTTCCAGTTCGCCGCAAGATCACCAAAATGGTACAAATGTTAAATAAAGATGCTGAGCAAAGAAGGTGGAAGGAAAGGGAGGAGTGAAATCATCTGCATGTTGACTCCGAGCACCAGCCGTTGCAGCAGCACTCTCTGTCGTCAGATTATCAAATCCCTCTTTTTGCAGATGACACCACCGTTAGATTTACCCTCCAATCTCATGCCTCCATTCATTGAAATATTTGAAGGTAGAGTTCAGTAAAAGTTAAAAACTGGCTCATATTTTTCCTCTCTGGCTCCGTTGTTCTCACCAATTCATTTTTCAAGGTCTTGATCTGACTCACGGTCTTGTATTCGAGCGCTGAGTCAGCTATACATATCGAAGAAAGCTGGTTCCCTCACGGAGGAGGACTCGGCATTGACCGTGAAGCAATATGTCCCTTTTTCCACGACCAAAGCTCCTGCTGATTTATATCATCCTTATGGGAGCAAGGGACCTGCAGCATGGATCCTGGTACGTGCAAGCAGAGCCCCGGCAGAGGCAAGTGCAGAGTTATCAAAGAAGAGATGGTGGACGGTCAAATCCGTTAGCAGTACAAATCCGTTCTGAACAGCATCTGATGAGCGACCCACCGCCGTAGAACAAGCCGTTGATATCGTGCAGAGCAGCGGACGTACACTCAGTCTCTATCTACATTCCTCCACTGAGAGAGCGCAAGAGAGAATGAGAGAGAGAGAGAGAGAAAGGGAGAGGAGCGGAGCAAAGGGATGGAGGGGAGGAAGGGAGGGAGGAGTGAGCTTGTTGAAGACAGACGGAAAGAGAAAACGAGGAGGGTTAAAAAAAAGAGAGAGAGACAGAGTGCAGGTTTTCCATGAGACAACAGAGATCTATTCCTCATTACGGATGTTTGTTTTGCCTGTCTGTTGCTCTCTCCTAGGGCTGCCATTTCTAAAGAGTCCGGACTAGCGCATGTTCCCGCTCTAATCTTCTGTGGGATTTTACCGCGACTCAAGCCTACGACACTGCAGCCAGACACATACACAGAGAGCCTTCTACTCTCCCCTACTGCTGATGCCAGGAAAGAGAGAGACAGACAGAGAAAAAAGAGAGAAAGAGGAGGCACTGCACCTGCTTTCTTCACAAGAACATTCCCCACCCCTTTAGAGAGAGACAGAGAGAGAGAGAGAGAGAGAGAGAGAGAGAGGAGGAGGAGGGAGAAACAAAGAGATAAGTACAAGTTGAGAAAGCATTCACAGGATGAGATAGAAAATGAGAGAAGCAGAGGGCAAAAGAGAGAGAAAGACAAGATATGGGGAAGCAATAAAGAGATCGATGTCAGTGCTCTGTGGTATTAGCAGAAAAAGCGATTACTGACTGCTGTAAACAAAGTGAGTCTCAGCATCTCTCTTTCAGGACTGCCAATCATGCAGCCAGCCCCTCCTCATGTCTAAGACTCTAAGAGGGGAAAGAAACTTGAGCTAAATTAATGGATGGTACAAATTACAAGTTGTGTGCAGGGGTGGCATTTTTTTAAGTAGCATAATACTAAAGGGTCGTAATTAAATGGAGTGGATAACACTTTAATACTCAAAGACAACAGAGATGCTAGCTTGTTTCCTGCTGGTTCTAACTTATTTTAAATGTGTACTCAATATTTTCTTGTTTATGTTGTGCTGGATGATATGGCAGCCCTCTTGGATTAATACTGACACCTACCGACATAGATGTGTCATCACGCAAAAACAAACGTTTTCAGTTGCTGATACCACTGTACAAACATGCCATTTCCTGTGAGCCATGCTTAATTCCACAAATGAAAGTCTCAATTAACAGACAGGTTACTGAAATTGGTCAACAACAATTGATTATTAATTATTATTGATTAAACTGATGATTATTATTTATTATTATTATTATTATTATTATTATATCAGAGTCAAATAAAAATATGAAATATCGCAATTCTGACAGTGGATTTCTAAGCCTATTTCTAAGGCAGCAAGAAATATAATTTATAATTGATATAATACTAATATTTAATGTTACCTTGGCTTTTTTATTTTTTTTTGGAGCAAAATAAAAAGGTTTTATATTTATCACTAAAAGCCTTGTACATTCAAGTTACAAATAGACGCACACGATCTTGCATGAAAAATATGGTGGATAGCAAAATATTAATTTTATAATAATTTTATGGTGGTTGTTTTCCTTTGTAAATCCCATAAAAAGTATAAATCACAATAGAATGTCCAGGCTTAAAAAGTGCTTGTGCATTTTTGCTTAATAATGCAGAACAACTGGAACAACATGGTTTTGTGTCAACTGAACTATACATGTACACATATATCTATATTTAAACACCCTTTTCTTGTAATATGAAATGAAATGCCCTTGATATTTAACTTTTTTCACCGCTGCCATAAATCCATAGTATCAGTAGCTACTTCAGTGAGATCAGAATCTCTGTACATGAATACTGAATCTCTATAGCAGCTACTCTAGGTCCAGGTACAACACGACAGTCTGCCTTTTAAAAGCCCTAGAATGAAACATCAGCCCTTTCAGTTAGCTTTTCCTTTTCTAGATACCTATGTTTTACTTTCTGTGACAAAACAAGTTTTAACAAAATATTTGGCCCAGGTCACCTTTAGAATGGTTGGTGAGGGCCGATTAGCACACAATTGGTGTGGGGTTTTTTTTGCACACTGGGCATTGCAAAGTACTTGTTGTTACATTTTATATTTCTTCTCTTCCAGCCAGCTGTCAATGAAACGGTAACCTGGCACGTTGATGGAGATGGTAGATACAGAAACAATTTCTTGGGGCGCCAATCAACCTGGATGGTGTGCGATGTGCAGTCAGGGTTCAAAATTAACATTTTGCCACAGCAACTGGATTGAGATATTTCATACTAACAAATAACCTAAAAAAATACCCTCATCCCTATGAAAACAGAATTCTCCCATGGCTGTTTGTGACAAACTGATCAGGTCAGTGTCATTCACAGTATCATATAAATATGAGTCAGTCTCTATCAGTCATAACTGCATTGGTCACAAAATCATTGAGAACAAGATTTAGTTTAGAATCCAAGTTACTCATTACTTTGTGCATAAAAGCAACATCACACTGCAGACCAGCATGACTCCTTATAAAGTTACCACCTAACTAACAAATAACTAAATTCACCTATGCACCAAAGCTGTATTTTCCACACATTTGGAACTTAGCCGGTGTTCATTTTGGACCCTGTGTACGGTACTATGTGTTCACACAACATCAAAGCAGGAGAGTGGCTTACTAATTTTATTTATCCATCCTTGCTCTAACATACTATATTCCCTTAAAGGGGTCATATGATGCGATTTCAATTTGTCCTTTCTCTTTGGAGTGTTACAAGCTCTTGGTGCATAAAGAAGATCTGTAAAGTTGCAAAGACTAAAGTCTCAAATCCAAAGAGATATTCTTTATAAAAGTTAAGAGTCAGCCACGCCTACCTAAAACGGCTCGTTCTAACACGCCCCAACATAGCTGAGGAAATACATCAACTTCACGCTGTGGATCGCCGGATCAGTTTTCACCGTGGACGAAGCGGAGTCCAGCCCGGGGTCGTCACATGTGGTTGCCGCAAGCCCTCCGGACGCTCCTTCGTCGAATCCGCCGGCCGCGCCGTTCTCAAGCCCTCCGCCTCTGCTCACTCTAGCCCTCCGGCCGTTCCTCACTCTAGCCCCCGGCCGGCCTCTGCTCACTCTAGGCTGCCGCCGCTCACTCTAAATACAACTCAGTGGTTAAGTTGTATTTACAACACTGTTCCAGAACACTTCAACTCAAATATTTAGATGTGTGCAGCACATTTTATGGAGGACCGTTTCCTGATCCTGGTAGACTACAATGCCGGCTGTTCTGACTCACGGACTGTAAGTAAGTTTTTTATATTTAAAGAATTTGCCACTGACGATTCAAACGCGAGTTTTGAGCAGTGTAGAGTAGCACTTGTTGTTTGTCATTTCTCCGATCACAAATGCAGACAAGAGTTTTATGTTTACGCGGCGCGATGCAACGTGTAAAAAGACAGTATAAGTCATTATAATCAGTAATTATGTCCCCACTGGATGCAACAAATGCCTCGTTTGTAATGGGTTTTAATGTTTACGTCTCATCGCTCCGGCCGGACACGGCATCAACAGTATGGTGAGGGGCGTAACATTTCCGTCACACGCTTCAGGTATTCGGCCAATCACAACGCACTGGACAGCTGGCCAATCACAGCACACCTCGCTTTTCAGACCGATGAGCTTTGTAAAAATCGACGCGTTTCAGAAAGGCGGGGCATAGAGGAGAAACAATAATGTACAGTATGTGGAAAATAATGTGTTTTTTGAACCTTAAACCGCATAAACACATTGCATTACACCAAATACACAAAATAATGATCTTTAAAATAGCATCATATGACCCCTTTAAGGTTTAAAGTGAAGTCGTGTTTAACATTATGTAGGCATATTCTTGGAAACGAGCTGGTAGCAGAAATCACACAACAAAACGAAATGTTATCATTTCATAAGTAAATGAGTAAACAA